ATTTAAAGCCTTCCTTTTTTTAAGAAAAAAGTTAAACATGTTGTATATGTTATAGATAATTGACAATACCTTGGTGAACAAGATCAACAGTTACCTTGTACCATAGTTTGGTGTGATTTCTTTTGTTAAAAGTGTGGGTTTTCTGTACAAAACCCACACTTTTCTGTAACTCTGCCCATCGAGTCGGGACAAAAGAACTATTTATAAAAGGATCATGCACGGTTTTTAAATTAAACAATAATACGGAGTAAAAATTTTCAATTGTATACAACATTTTGTAATAAATAACAGTAAAAAACGGTCATTTATACTTTTTACTTTAGTTAAAAGTGAGAAAAAAAACTTCAGAAATCGCTTGATTTTTATAACATTTTTTTAAATGGTGTAATGACCAGGTTGACGTTAGCTAAGTAGATTCCAATATATCGTTCTTTTGATAACCAAAAAAGGAAACAAGGTACATACTGAACGTAAAAACAAGTGTACGCTACTGTACTTAAGTAACCTTAAGTTTTCGATTGCAGATCTAGCCGATCAAAGTTCTTAGATCTAATTTTCATTAAATTGAAATAAACATATTACCCCTCACAAACATTTCACATAAACGTACCACTGAACACGGCAAAGTTTGTATTAAATTTCCAAAAAATTAAGTTAAACCAAGTTCAAAATAAATCTAAATTACTAGTCTGTAATTTTGACGATTGTTATTTACGAGAAAAAAAATCATATCAAACTAGGAGACTTATTGTTCACAGAACAATAAGAGGTCTTTCCACCTTTTTTTGAATTTTTCAATTTTGTTTTATATCTGACTCCTTAAAACTAAATTCCATGAATAAAAAACCAAAATTGTCTTAAAGGATAGAAAAAAATGAAAATAAAAAAATGAAATGACCTTGACCTTTGACCTTGAAAAAATGTTCAAGGTCAAAGGTCACAATGCAATTGACCTCATGCTTCTATGACTTTTAGTTTTTAAGTTATAAGGTTTAATAGTAAGTACAAAGACGTTAAAGGGCAATAACTCATATAAGGGGTCATCAGATCGTTTGGCACTTATACAGTGAAGTGATGCCTCAAGATCCTAAAGACATAAGTGAAGGTTTGGTGTCTCTACGGTCTACAGTTTCCGAGAAGTAGCGATTACAAGGTTTTTCGCACAAGGGGCAATAACTTTTAAAAGGGTTAATGTTAGGGAACAAAAATGAAATATTTAAAATAGTTTTAACAGTACATATTACTGATGCAAAGACATTAAGTATATGTTTAAAGACAAAAGAGATATAAAAAGAGCTTAATTTCTCAAATTTGGAATGACCTTGACCTTTGACCTTTGCATTAATTTCATGATCAAAAGTCAGTGAATCTTTTCCAGTTGGTCCCATGTCTCTATCACTTCTCGTTTTGAAAATTTTTAATCATATCTAAAATTTTAAAAGTTTCAGGGGCAATAACTCATTGAAGGGGTCACTGAATACTTTCGCAATGAATAGATTCCAGAGTCCTCTCAATTAGTCAAAGACTTTAGTGAAGGTTTCATATTTCTACGGTTTACAGTTTCGAAGGAGTAGCGATAACAAGGTTTTTCGTACAAAGGGCGATAACTTTTAATAGGGTCAATCTTAAGGAATACGAATTAAATCTTTAAAATAGTTTTAATAGTACATATTATTGATGCTAATACAGTTTTTATATGTTAAAAGACAAAAAAGATGTATAAAGAGCTTAATTTCTCAAATTTGGAGTGACCTTGACCTTTGACCTATGCACTAATTTCATGATCAAAGGTCAATAAATCTTATGCAGTTGCTCCCATGTCTCTATCACTTCTCGTTTTGAAAATTTTTAATTATATCTAAAATTTTAAAAGTTTCAGGGGCAATAACTCATTGAAGGGGTCCCCGAATACTTTCGCAATGAATAGATTCCAGAGTCCTCTCAATCAGTCGAAGACTTTAGTGAAGGTTTCATATTTCTACGGTTTACGGTTTCGAAGGAGTAGCAATAACAAGTATTTCTTGCGAAAGGGGCAATAACTTCGAAAGCAGTCATAGTTCATACGCGTTGGGTCAAATTTGTTCATAACTTTTAATGACCTTTACGATGAACAAAAAGTCTTTTCGATAAGTGTCGAAACAAAAAATCAGCGGAAGAAGAATAATAATAAGAAACAGAAGAAAATCAATAGGTCTTTCCACAGAAAGGTGGAAAGACCTAATTAACATATAAAATTGAAACCAAACTTGTTATTTTTCAATTACATAAATCAAACTTTTTAAATGGGTCAAGATATCTTTAATTCTTATGTCGCTTGCGTGGCCCAGTAGTGAAAACTTCTGCCCTAGAGTCACGAAGTAAGGAGTTGAATCCCACTGTGGGACGTAGAGACCTATAGAGTATAAACAGAGGTCCCGTGACGCAGAAGGTGTTGACAGGAAGATGTCTCACTGCTCAATGACCCTGAGTGCCGAGTATAGGGCAAAATTTGTAGCATAATTTTAAAAGTATTGTATACAAATCACTTACTCTATATTCAATAGACATGGTCTGAAGGGCACGAAGAAGCGTAAAATCATATAAAATCGAAATGCATCTTTGAAACTATACACTTAATGTTTGAATCACGGGGACCAGTTCGACCGATTCCTAAGCTGACTTACATATGAATGATTTTTGAAAATTATGGTACAAAGCATTCACCTCATATCACACTGTTGATTATGTGTAGATACCCGATGGGCGTGGTCATAATGACAGCTCGGGAGCTACTCTCCTTCCTGTCATTATAACCACGCCCATCGGGCATCTACATATAACCAACAGTATGATATGGGGTAACTACTACCTAAAGCAAAAATTCAAAGAAAATAATAAGTATGGAGTATACCCGTTTCCTTGTGATATAAAGTTTTTTTCCGAATAGAAAGATGACATATCTGCTGTCGCAGTAGATCTGTTGAAGTAGAGGCCAAGACAGTCGTTTCTTTAAATAATTAATAAGTAGACATATTGGTTGTAATAATTTGAAAATATACAATCCCTAATAGAGGAATACTACAGTAAACTGTAGTAAACAATAATTTACCATAGTTAATAGTAAGTGGAAACTTTGGAACTTTAATTTACTTTATATAGTGAAATCTTTGAAACTTTGATTTACTTTATTTAAGGATAACAAAAATTTTATTTACTTTTAATTTTTGAAAACTTTGGAACTTTGATTTATCATAGTGAACACTTTGGAACTTTGAGTTACTATAGTGAAATCTTTAAAACTTTGAATTACTATCAAAGTTTACTATAGTATTTCTAGTTAGATATTTTATCAAATGATTAAAAAATTAAAACTTTTATTTGAGTGAATACTTAAGTATTTTTACGTGACTGTGTAATATCATATCGACAATATTCATTTTCTTTAAAGGCATTTCCGCAAAAACGCTTAAAAATAGGCAGTTCTGAAATTTCGAATGTCCAGAGTGCAACTCAGTGTGTTTCATCAGGTGTAGAAAGTTATTCCAGCATCGGTAAATTGGGTAACAATGAAATGCAGGAAGATAGTGACGACGAGGATTCATACACCGAGGAAACAGATGACGATGAAAACCAGGAAGATAGTGATGACGATGATGCTGGTAATTTTATCATAATATGATTGCTTAAAATAAATTACATACATGTACAAACATAATTTTAGAAAAGTTTTATTCATTCATAAAATCATGAAATCAAACATTGTAATTGTTGTAAATGTTTATTTCTATAATGAATTGAATAGAAATATTCTACATCATAAACAGTATATTAAGTAAAAGTAAATGTTTGTTTCTTTCATACCTTGTCTAGATCGTAGCCTCCTGTACTGTATTCTGCTATCGGAGGATGGACGTATTGATCTAAACAGCACTGACTGGTATGGAAAACTTACAGACATCAGAAAGACCTATAAAATGAAACACAGATCAAGAGAAAAAGACATTCTTACCATTCAATCAATGATAGAGACACGTCATACTGTATGCATGAGTGAAAATGTTGTAGTGTGTTTAGTGGATACTAATGATTTCTATGAACATGACTGGGTTTATAAATGCCTGACATTCAACAAAGATTATGACAAATTCTTGAAGGTGACACCGACAGAAGTTTTGCGAAAATGCGTTCCGTATATGAATAACATACAGGAAAAAATAATATGTAGCAGTGAGATTTCTGATATTATCTTGAAATTTGGATTGGACTTTGTTCGCTTTTATCATACACGTTCGGAATATTCAAAAATATATGAGGATGGTTTAAATATATGTAAGTATTTATTTTGTTTTACAGCGCATAACATTCATGTTAAAGATATACTTTATACTAGGGATGTCAACGAGTACCCGGTTAACCGGGTACTCGATCGAACGTCCGAGTATCGAATACTAAAATCGGTACTCGGTTACTCGGATGTATATTTCTGAATATTTCTAAGCTTATTTATTAATGCATTAAACATCGGTTTTTAAACTTAAAATTTTCAGTGCACCTGTACATATAGTAATTAGGGTTTCCTGTACCTCTAAATGACCGTTATCGCCTGTGGCAGTGTTTATACAGTAATAACAGAGACCAAGCACCTGCTACCTACCTGGCTTTTCTCACCTTCGGTTTAGTTTGCTCTAATTATTTGTTTTCATTGAACATCGTTTAAGGTCTGTTATGTTTAAATAAATTAGATAATTTTGTCCTCCAGAAGCCGTAAATTCTTGAAGAAAGAGACAGACGATATTGCACGTGCGATTGTTGATATGGATGCGTTTGGTTACGTGCCAATTAATACAAATTGTTGAATGCAAAGATTTTAAAAATCTTATGTCCACCGTTGCACCAAACTACAACATACCGTCTCGTAATTTTATGAAATATAGGATCGAAAAGTGTACGAAGATCGTAAATCCGCTCTGTTACAGAACTTGATAAAGTTGATACTGTACATGTAGCTCTGACGACTTGTCACCTGGACGTTAAACGCACCAAAGATTTACATTACAATAAGTTTTTTTTAAACAAAACCACTGTGACCCATTTATGATTTTATTTCTCGTATTTATCTGGTGAATAAATTGAACTTAAAAAACACTTTAGATTAAATTTCGTCGGGCACAAAGTGGTCATAATTGTTACAACACATCCCATCAGACCACGTGGTTTTATTTCTACAAGAATTAACAATGTTTTACAGTTATCAATTAACTTGTTCATATTAATTTAAACTTTACCGAGTACCCGGGTACTCGATCGGAAAAACGTCCGAGTAACCGAGTATTAAAAATTGACCGATTTGACATCCCTACTTTATACCTATTACATCTAAGTTTTTTATTTGAATTTAAAAAACATAATTCGCTGACTATTCCAAAATATTTAATAGGATACAACTGTTTTTAGTGAATCTTCCTCATCATGTGGTTGATAGGATAGAGGACGATTACGACATTTATATGTTCAGTGAATTCAAAAAATATGTGGATGAGTTCATGAAATGTGAACATAAATCCTTAGAGTCATTGAATCTGAATAGTCTGCTTGGCTCATACCTTATTGGACGAGAGACAGGCAAAGAGAAAGGTGAGTTGATAAGGATATGTCTATCATTCTTTGAAGAATGAAGTTGCACAACTGCAATGGTGAGAGCGAACTGTAAGTAATCTATTAACACGTGAAACCCCGTGATATATATATATATATATATATATATAATATATAAACTACAAAACCCGTTATCCCCTGATTCTAAATTCTTACCTTTTTTCTAGGTCCTACCGAAAGGAATCGGATAATTCACCATCACAGTAAATTTATCTTTCCCAATTTTTCCTTTATAAATGATATTTAATCTAAAAGGTAAGCTTCTCCCTTTGGTGACAATACTTAATTTAAACATGTATAATAGAGTGAGTATTTTTTCGTAAAGACACGTTTTTAGAATATCACGGGTTTCCACACGTTAACGCATTACTCACTTTGTTTGCGCTCACCATTGTAGATGTGAAAGGTCATTTTTAAAGAATGACTTAGCAATACATAAATAAAGAAACTAATATTAATGATTGTATTCACCACACCTTACTAAATATGTACTTGAAACTGAATGATTTGTTTTACAGAGGAAATAAATACGCTTTATCAAGGAATCTTAATACCTGGCTCTATAAAATACTTTTTAAAATAAAATTTCCCACCCTAAAATCAAACTCTTGGGGACTCTTTGCTACCCAAAAGTAACAGATTTTAATCCCACATATAGAATTTATTCTTAGACTTCAATTCGTGTTTCTTTCCATCAGAATTATTATACTAATGCTAAATAAATAAATTTTTACCATGCGTTAATATTAAGTTCATATTCTACTCGCTTTATATTTATATGATTCTGTACATAATCTTGTTGTTAAATAATGTGCTATCCTGTATGAATAAAGGATATCATTATTATTATTAAATAATTCCTAAAGTTGAAATTTGTTCTAAAAAAACTTTTGATCTTGAATAGATTATTTTTTTTTTATTTTGAAGATACACATATTCAAATAGAGAACAATACTTATTAATTGTCATAAATACTCAGATTAATCTATTCGAAATAATTAAACACCCAAAATAAAATATAGGAAACATTTTTTTTCTGTTGCATTTACTTTATTTTGCAAAACTGCGTTTGATATAAAAATGAATTATTTAGTTTCCTCCGCACAGAATTCTACATTTTTATGAATACTGTTTTTCTATTTACTCCCTCCTATTAACAATAAAAATACTCTCCTTTTATCTCTTTTCAACTTTTTTTCACAATAACGATGAAATTATTTTACTCGGTTTCTCAAAAATTATAATGCACGATTATATTACAACTCACTGCTACCAAATTTAAAAAACACATTTGAATGCATATCTGATGAAAGGCACTAGTTTATGAATTTATATGTAAAATCGCTATAGAGTTGTTATCTCAAATTCATAAATATTTATAAAAAATCATTTTCTGTATCTTAGATGCTGATGTTTTACGGCTCGAAGTTTTATAAAGTGACTTGGTATCATATTCTGACAAAATTCTATGTAAAGCGCAAAATGCTTGTTTAACGTATTGATTTTAGAAACATTTTAATATAAAGGTAGAATACATTTTAAAACAATATTTAAAAAATAACCTCTTAGAATTCGTAACAAAAATATAGTGATTGTTTTAATAAGCTATGCATTGAAATCATGTCATCTATGTCATAAACCTGTCTGTTTTGCAATACACTGAAGTCAATAATGATATCTCGACAACAACCCTAATATCTCGTCTTTTTACGATCGTCCCACCGATGTTGAGATAATGAAATATACTTGTACTTAAAAATTGAAAACAAAGAAAGAAATCGAATATTATACATGTTATATAGCAATTTGTTTTCAATGTATTTTTTGCTTCTGAGTACTGAATGAAAAGGTAAAATATAAAAAATAACGATCAGAAATCAATCGCAAAGAATAAAAGAAAAGAAACGAAACCATCTACATTGATACTAAATGAATGTTGCGGCACTTTTTTTGTAAAAATGATAGATGGAAATCATAGAATAAATAAATCACGCATCCGAGAGAAACTTATTTTAGAAGTTTCTAAAAAAACTAATTGATTTCAAATTAACATACAGTCATGTATAATGATCAACCATTTTTATTTCAGCGTTGGATAACCTCGCACTTTCTCATACAAAATGGAACATTCTAGTTTCTATTCTGATGTCAGAGGGTTACAGTTTATCCTTAAGCTCACCTTGGGAGGAATTATTGACAAAACTTCAAAGTGCTTTTCCTTTATTAAGTTGCGGGTCAAGAATGTTAGACAGTGATATCGCTGAATTGACTGATATTTACAAAGTGTTAAATAAAGAGAATAACTCAGTCAAATTTATATCAGATGATGACCGCCATCAGGTGATGAGTTACTTCGTGAAGAATTGTCTGATAACTGATGAGAACTACGAAAATTATATAAAACTGTCATCAGTGGACTCGTGGTTAGAGTACGTACGACCCTGGTGGTATGATGATAATGAAATGTTCGTTTGGGGAGAAAAAATTATGTTCCTACCGGAGAGTTTAGAGGATTTATTTCTCCAAAGACTTGGATTAGACGTCCTACGTCATGTCATGGTGGAGTGGAATGAGTCGACAATAGATAGAATTAAAACAGTCAGAGAGACAGTTAAAAAAAAGTGTGAGTAACACTGCTAAAGTGTAATAATAAAAAAATTAAATCAATCAATTTTCGCTTAGAAAGATTTTTTTAAAAATATCTGCTGAACATTTACAAGATAAAATTTTAAATTCATACATTAGAGAAAGTTTTTTTTAGGTCACCTGAGTAAACTCAGGTGACCTATTGCTATCTGTTTTCGTCCGTCGTCGTGTGTCGTGCGTCGTGCGATGTGCGTTAACATTTGAACATTTTCAGCTTCTTCTCTGCAACCACTGAACCAATTTCAACCAAATTTAGCATAAAGCATCAATGGGTAAAGGGAAACAAAAATTGTGAATTTCATGATCCCAGCCCCCCTGGGGCCTGAGGGGTGGGACCAAAACCACTAAAATTAATGCAATCTGTAAAAACCTTCCTCTTTACTCCTGGACATCAAGCAGTCAAACTGTTTGTATGAATGTAATTAGCAATGAGTCCTCTACCAAAATTGTGAAATTCATGACCCTGGGGTCAGGGGTTCTAGTGCTAGGGCGGGGCTAAATAAGTATATAATAAAAATGCATTATTTCTTTTAAAATCTTCTTTTCTGACTCCTGGGTATTAAATAAACCAACTAAGTACATAGTTATGATGACCAAGCGTGCCTCTACCAAAATTGTGAATTTTATGGCCCCAGGGTCAGGGGTTCTGGTGTAAGGGCGGGGCCCTATTGATTATATAGTGAAAATACATGAATTCTCTGAAAATCCTTTTCTCTGCTACTTGGTATTGAATAATCTAACTAAGTGCATAGTTATGATGAGCAAGAGTGCCTCTACCAAAATTGTGAATTTTATGGCCCCAGGGTCAGGCGTTCTGGTGTTAGGCTGGGGCTCTATAGATTATATAGTGAAAATATATGAATTCTTTGAAAATTTTCTCCTTTGCCCCTAGGTATTAAATAAACTAAGTGCGTAGTTATGATGAGCAAGAGTGCCTCTTCCAAAATTGTGAATTTTATAGCCCCAGGGTAAGGGGTTCTGGTGTTAGGGCGAGGCTCTATTGATTATATAGTGAAAAAAACATTAAATCTATGAAAATTTTCTTTCTTCTCTGCTCCAGGGTATTAAGCAGATGAACTACCTATATAGTTATGATGGACAAGGGCCGTAATTTTCCAGAATTAAGAATTTCAAGGCCCCAGGGCCAGAGGTACCATAGAGGGGGGTTATACTTATATACTGAAAATGAATGAATTGTTTGAAATCTGCTCCTTGGTATTAATCAAATATCAAGGCTTAAGGGTCAGGGGTTCATGTGTGATAGGGGCACTACTGATTATTGCTGAATATTACTGATAAGTTGAAATGCATTTTTTGTTCCCTTACCCTGCATACGGGTATTAAGTAAACAAACTAAGCAACTGCTAAATGTATTGTTATGATGAGCAATGGTGCCTCTTTCAAAATTGTGAATGCCATAGCATCTGGCTTAAAACATGAATCAAATTCAATCACTGGAAAGTTGTTGCATAATGCTCAGGTGACCTATAAGCGCATGGGCCTCTTGTTTAAATCATATAATATTTTGTATTGAAACATGTCTTATTCTGCTATTGTTATCCTTTTTACCTGTTAACAATAAAATCTTAAGATTACATTGTCTCGTAAAAGAAAACTCGTGATTTTGTACCTTTCAAATAAAATTTTCTCGATGTTCTTAAGATTTAAATTTGTCTTAATCTTAATAGAGCTCCCATCCTTTCGAAAGTAGAAGATTTTAATTTGAAAATATAACAGATAAAATCAAATCTACCTTTAAAAGAACTTCTTTACGGAAAAACAGTACCATAGGTATATGTGTACTGCATTTACATGTACATGTTGATCGTATAGATTATATGTAGTTTTACATTATCATGGATTTCATGAGCGCCGAAATCATGTTATAACACTTTAAATAGGCACAAAAACGTGTAAAGCGTAAAAATCGTCTTTAAATGAATATTCTAAATGACGAGAGGTTTAGAATGATCAAACTTAGTATGTTGCTGTGTTAAAACATGGACGTAAACCTTGGGAATCAATGTTCCAGCTCCATGCGCCGTGAAAGTGAAAGTCTTGCAATTTTATTGCATGTATAAATGTAAGTAAAATAAAATCACTGTAGAGTTTGTTGAGTATGACAGGGACATCAACGATTGTTGGAAACTGGGATAATTTATGGGTATCAAGTTTTGCCATGTATGCATAAATTATCCCACGTTTCCAACTATTGTTAAGACCTTGGCATTCCCAACAAACTTAACCATAATACCATATGCTTCAGTAGTGTGGGGAGGTTGTTCAACGTCAGATTCCGAAAAAATTAGAAAAATTACAACCACAAGCAGCCCGTATTGTAACTGGTCTGATTCTATTAGCGTCCAGAGAGTCCAAGGGTCTCACAACACTTTTTGGGACTGGGGCCGGGGCCGTTCAAATTCGGAAAATTATCGTCATTTTGGGAAAAGTTGGATAACCAATATTCATTAAAAATATCCTCAAATTTTGCTTTTCTAGCATTTTGTCATCAATTTAACTTTGGTTTTGAATAAACAGATAAATAGTACAAACATGGGTACATAGGCTGTATATTAAAGTACATAAGCTTTGTCATAACCATCTTTGAGTGTTGATATTTTGGTTATCTGTGTTTCTAAGTGACAGTCGCTAGTCACATAGTCCCGAATTTCCTCCATCACATGGACAAATTTGCTGACCAATACAGCGCGAAACTGAACATGCTGAAACGTTGGTATGTTTGTAGGTGCCGCGTACTAATATTTAAATGAAATGTCTATTTTTGAAACCAATATGATACTTTTTGTCGAAACTTCATGACAAGATACTCTGCATTATATTCTCCCTTACTTCGTTCGTCCGAATATAAATTAATGAAGTGCTAAATGAATAAAACACAACACATGTTAAGTAGGAATGCTGCTCGCTAGTGCTTTTATTCAATTCTAATACATAACCACTTTATGAAACCAACTGTATAGCCCAACTTCATTACACTCCATTGCATTACTATCCTCCATATTTCTCTCAATCTTTAAATCCTAGCGAGCAAGCTTAGAGTGCCGTGCTACCGCATGGCCTTACTATTTATACCCTATATAACCACGTAACTTCAGAAAAAAGCTTTTCGAACACATACCGCACATAATTTTAATTCATGTAGTTAGTACACATTTTTGTAAAAATAATAACCTGGTTCCCCGAACCAGTTTACCAATGAATTTGGATCGAACTGATAAAACAGTCATACAGTTTCACTTTCATTTGCAAGTGTGTTTATTTGAGTTTTTTTCTGCGATTAAGATTTATGGATTTATTAATATTTTGCTATGGTAATTGGGAAATTTACATCTTTCTTTTTGGAAAAAAGATACCTTTTTGCATTGGGAACAGGGCCGAATATTGGCCCCAGATTTCAATAACTGACACATAAAATTGTAAATAACAAAATCAACAAAGACATCACAAAAGTGTCTGAATAGTTTTGTTTTGTTTGTTTGTTTTCACATCTTTGTTGTCACTCAAACAGTATATCTCTGACTTAAGTAGACTGGAATAAAAATTTGTAAGATATGTTCTTAAGTATTTCAATCTTAGTGACACATACAATTAATTAAAATCATACTAAGGATTTCTTAGTATTTGCTACTCTTCTCACAAACCCTTAACTTAGGCTGTCAAAAGTCAGAATTCCTTATAGCACATGACATGATCTTGAATAACCACTTGCATCATTGATAGAAATAAAGAGCATTCCTAAAAAAGTGAAGTATCCGGCAAAGAATAATTAACAAGCAGATAGGCTTATTTGCTAGTAAGTTTGCAGGTTTTTATCTCTAACTTTAGATTCCAGATTACATTATGTGCCCATCATCTTCATGTAGAATGATCTCTCTGTCATCTCTCTTAAATACCGAGGCATGATCAGCTTCTAAATGCAAATTAATAAATAAATTCTGTCCTGTAACAAATTTAAAAAAAGTTTTGAAAAGCTTTTCTCATCAAATATGTTTTTTTAATCAGATAATTCAGATTATACAGAAATCAAAAATTGACACATTGATATAACTTTTCTTTTATAATATTGTTAAAAATCTTTATGAAGCATATCATATAATATATAATATATATGTCATATTTTGTCATACTAGTTAAATGGTTTGGTGCGCAGGGGGAATAAGGAAGCATACAAAATTTTCTACCTTGGCTAAATCAGTGCTGCATTATGACGTCATAGTAGGCAAGATGACGTCAATTTTAGAAATAAAGTTTTCGTAATATTGGTATTTAGCTATGTAATTTAACTCTAGAAAATGATTAGAAATGTGTTAACATTAACAAAAATAAAATGTGTTTATCGTGTTATGCTGTAGCAGTCATTATGATTGAAATCTACCATCGATGACGTCATATGTGTACATCAAGTAACTTGGAAATTGATTATGTCGTGTAAAGAGAATTTGGCTAAGACGGCATGTTCAAAGATACGTAAAATGGAGTTTAAAAGGAAATATCGAAAATATTGTGTTAAATTCATATGGAGCTCAATTAATTTAACAGGTATGCTAATTTATTTTCATCGATTATCTTCTCTTTCGAAGACAGTTAGCTATATTACGTATCCCGGTCGGCCTATCGTCTGTCATTCTTGACCAACAAATGCAACAGAACAACAATAAGCTGGATATTTCAAAACATACGATTTGTAAATATTAAAAGTTTGCGTTAAAACAAACTTGGAAAGTGCTGCTAGAATCCTGAGTTAAGCATGGTTGTACGACAAATCTCGATTCATATGTATAAAATTCAAAACAAAGGGTAAGGTTTCGTGCGAATGTTTGGAATAAATATTATACGGACAGAATAGTGGGATTCTACTAGCACTTTTTAGATAAAATAGATGTTTTTCAGCTATATTACATACTCAAAGAAATTATCAAACTCCGGGGTATTGTTGTTCTGTAAGCCTTTTTATTAAGGGAAATTTTGCTATTAATAGAAGTCACGTGATGCCGTGGCGGTGATGCACGTCTTTGCCTTAGACACACTTTTATCTGTATGCAATAGTAAATAACAGTTTACGTTAACTTTATCAGTGGTTTTGGTAATTTATTAAACTAAATTTTCTTCAAAAAGTCTAAATTTCCCGAAAAATTACTTATATGCTTCCTTAACATACCTGCGTGGAGTCAATGTATTACGACTGAACAATTTCCAGCCTTGTACTTAACAATCATGGTAAATTAATTATAAATTTTTAAAAATAGCATAATTAACCATCAATTTTATCAAATAAATGAAATATCTTTTTTTTTTTTAGTTTCTGTTATCAGGGTTGTTAAGAGAAAGGGCATGTTAGACTGAAAACTATTACTTCAAAGAAAAATCCCTGGGACAAGGTGTTTATGTACATGGGCTTGTTTCTATGTTATTAAATGTCCATCTCAAGAATTTTTCTCTCATATGGAGACACCACCACTTGCCGGTGGAAAGATGCAAATTTTGTTCCATACTTAGCACCAACGGCTATTGAGCTGTGTGGGATCTTTTTCATGCCAGCATCTACTGCGACAAGGGACCTTAATTGGTTTACTGTAACGTATTACATTTAACGGTGTATTCTATTTAGCGATTTTGGCCGATAGCAGACTCCGCTAATTCAAGAACATCGCTAAATGTCTTGTATATTAACTTTCATAACTAGCAAATTCAGACTTCAGCGCTTAATCAAATCTACGCTAACTTGTTTAAAATTGAATCTCCGCCAAATATCATACACGCCAAATGTAATACATTTACATATATAAGTATAAGATAGATATTTTTATAGTGTCTCATCAGAAGGACAGGTCTCCACGTCTCATGGTAAGGATCAACTCCTTACTTCATGACTATAAAGCAGAGGCTCTAACCACTGCGCTAGTCTGGCGACTCATGTACCTGGGAGTGTTGACTAATAGCCATCCAGTGACAATGAGGTTTTTTTTAATGCAATAAAATTGACTTACGAATAACTAAGCACCTATGTCCTCCACATCATAATCTTTTCTGTGCATGGTGGTCATTGGTGCAATTAGCAAGCGGGTCTTCACAATGAAAGTTCTGAAGCCTTTTGAACAAGCACACTACACATGCCAAAAATTATGTGTTTGTGTTATAAATAAGTGTTAATTATGTCAAGTTTCATTTTTCTTTGAATTGTGCTTAGAGGTGGTCATGAAAACTTACCCAGTCCAAAAACAACAAAATTGGAAGACGAACTTATTTGAACCCATCTTCACAAAACAAGGTTCGGATGCTCAGGCCAACAATATAAAAATTGATTTGTTTGATGTACTCTGTGTAAGATATAGTTGTATATATTATATAGACCCGTCAAAATTGCCCCTACCCAATGATTGTTTCAGCACTTTAATTTTTATTTTTAATTTTAAATGAACTAAAATTGTTTCATTTTAAAGCAAAGATGTATAATTTCTAAAGGATGCTTTTTGACTGAAGGGTTTTATAACAATAAACATGTGTAGCTATCAAATGTGCACTGTTAAGAAATCTGTGATTTTTATGACAGTTATAAATTTTTCAGCAGTGTAAACCACCGCAAAATTAACAACCTACCTACCTATCTAAAAAAATGTAAGTCGGAGTTCATCAAACAAAAATATTTTATAGATCAGTCACCACAGTATTCCATATTGAGAAAACAGTGACATTGTATTGTAAACAGTTTTGCAATCGAAAAAAAAAAAACAATTTTTGTGATCGTTGAAAGAACCGAAAAGTATTATTTGTGGGTTACCCCCGATGTCAAATCAGCAAACGGCTTCATATCACATGTACTATACATGTGTAGCCAGGGACCAATATCTATACTACTATAGAATACATGTATATATAGGTCTCTCGTAGTCTATAATGTCTTTTCATTTCAATCAATGTACTTTAAAACACTTTTAAACTTTTCAATCAAGACTAAGATCTAATGCCAGAGAAAATACTTGTCATATCTGATCAATTGACGTGTTCGCCATCGTAAAATATTCAGTCCACGTTGTTGTTGTTTACTGCTACAGCGAAAACACGTGTAAGTCTCGATTAATATCAACTCATACCTTAATGAGTCGTGCAAATGTGAGATTTTGTATATATTAAATCATTGTTTTTTGAAAACTGTTTTAAATTATAAATTTCATGTCAGTATATGTTTAATTGTATTTTATATTAAGAATATATTTTAAAGCAAACAGCAGTAAAATCTTACCTTTTTAAACGTAATGTTAGACCTTTAGGAATCAAACATTTTTTTTTATCAACAAAAAATTTATTGCAAGTTGAATAAAAAAACAAAAATATTACATTTCTCTAAAGGTGTAAACTTAAGATAATTATTACTGTTATTTTCAACCAATTATTTTTTAATATAAAACATCTATTTAAATAAGTATATGGTATAATTAAATGTAATAGTACTAAACATGTTGTTCCTAATGAGGCACAACGGGAACGACCTTGACGTTAAAAATTGACTACACTCGAATTTTCTACAAAAGTACGCGGAGGATCAAAATTCAAAGTATGGTCATAAAAAAATACCGAAAATAAAGAGACCAGTGAAAGCTTGTTGATATTAAAATTATCTCTTCTTGTACCAGCTGTACTTTGTTTTCCATATTTCAATACAGAAATAAAGGAAAAATGTGTTTAATTTAAGTATTACGATAAACCCTGAAAAATCACGAGTGGAAGGAAATTCTTGTTTTTACAAAACATTTAAAAGTAAGCGCAATAATTTTTACATATTTTAAAAGCAGAGAAAATATCCTTTTTAAAGATGTTAATTTTATTTAAATGATTTAATCAGGAAAAAATATATTTATCGTCGGGAAAATCGTCCTTGCTTTGGAAAATTGCGTCATTTTCAAAAAGTCATGAATGTCTCCAAAACGTAAAATCTAATCATTACTGATTAATAAAGCTCGAAATCTTTACAGTCTGAAAGTAGAGAAAACGTCCTAAAAGATGATATATAAATTATATACATTAATGCTATTATTAAAAAGATACGGAGGTCCTGTTATAGCGATGTCGTGTTTTAACGCGCTATCGGTCATATAGACCGATGCGGTAGCGAAGGGGTTAAATCTCTGAATGATTCTATTGAATTGATGAAATTATTTATTCACTATATCGAGTAAATGAAAATAACATTATCTGATAAAGATTTTAAAGTGTCAACATGCAATCTTACATCAATGCCTCGCACTGGGCGCCGAATAAATATCTATTTATGCCTCCTCTTTCCCTACCTTCAAATCAAAATTGCATTTAAAATAATCTTTATTTAGCCCCCTTCTTTAAAAAATGACAATCTTAAATCAAGAAAGATTTTTCGTTAATAAATAAATAATTGTGCGTAGAACTCACTGATCAACCACAGCCGTAAAATAAGTAATATCATAAAATCATTAAAAATTTTCATGAATTTCAGTAAAACTTCCATCTGTTGTGTTTCGTGAGGATAGTCGGAATAAATTTGTAGAATATGTGAAGAAAATTTCAAAAGAAAAACAAACTTCCATACAGTCTTTGAATCTAAACAGTCTTCTTGGATCGTTTTTAATTGGAAGAGATGACTACAACTCTGAAGGTAAGATAACGTAAAATCAGATGTGTTATTAAATTACACTTAGGACGAGGGTATTTTTTCTCAATCAAATTTCCTTATTCAAGATAAAGAGAGAGTGATAAAGGTAGAGAAAGATTCTTGTTATTTTTCCTTTAAATTTATTTCAATGTTGATCATTCCATAGAAGGTTCTCAATCCACCTTGATAGAGCGTAATATTTTTTTAGCTACTTCATTGGAGTTCAAAATTACTGATTTATAAAATGATCATGATTCAATATCACTAAAATTGAAGATACTTTTCCGGGTGATATTTTATCATTTCATTAATTATATACAAAGAAAGTCAGGGTTTGTAGTACATTGAGCCTCATGACATATGCAGATTTGAAATGTCCTTGCTGTGAACACATTTAAAACATTGACCAAACTAAACAAATGATAACAAGTCTACATGTAAAATAATGCATAGAGCGACGGTTTTATAATCAAATTGTTATCATCGACAACAATACTCACATATAGAAAGTACATGCTTGTATCCGGCTATATGAGTCAGCGGAACATATTGTTACATACCAAAATATATACAGGCCGAAGTTATGTACAAGTACAAGAATGCTAGTGAATGAATGTAAAAAAAAAACATTGCACATAATTGTTTCGAAAGAATTATTCGAGAATGTATCTATTTTTCTCTTATATCATCATATATATTTCACTTGCATTCTGTTAAAACTCCTAATCTGAGAATAGAATAGACAACTGGAAAGAAATGTTAAAGAACGTGTAGTTGTAAAACTTCATTTGAAAAAAAAGAGAAAGCATCACTACATCATAAAGACCCTCTGAAATAAATAATCACAATGAATTGTAGTTATTTATGCTTCTAAGGAGTGTAAGTGACATAAATAATTGAAATAGACCTAGATTGAGTTTCTTCTTTTGTGTGTGTGACAAAACATTTTTTGATTGTTATAAGTACATTTTTTTCCGATTCTGATTTGAAAAGTTTTAATATGGAAAATGCAATAATTCCAATATTCATTTTATTTATTGAGTCCCTATGTTTTGATTGGACAAAAACACTTTTTAGAAAAAAAGTATACACATCAATAATTTTCAACCAGAAATATTTTCTTGACCAAGCTTCTGGGCTATGGTATAAACAATTAAAGCAGTTTAATTTCTGGTCTGTTTTAGCTAAATTGTGAATACAAGAAACTTCAAATTTAATTAAATAAGACAAAACTGGCGACAAACATGACTAACCAGCTGACAGACGTCATGAAAATAATGCCACTGTGTAAGTTGTCTTATCCCGCTTCAGACAAATATGTAGATTGCTGATTGGATAAAAGCTGATCACATGACGCCCTGAAATTTTTCGTATTACGTCTCCGTCGAGGGTAATATGAAGATCGGGCACGCGATTCCGTTCGTAGCGTTGTTATTGTAAATAAAAATGGCGGCTGAGAAACGGTTTACGTAGGTAGTTTAGTTAAATTTCTTGTTACTGTAACGATATTTTTATGTTGATTGTTATTGGATTAAAATTGGATTTTATATTGATAAAAGTCTTCAGCGGGAAAAATCGTAACACAGTCAGTTAGTGACCTAATACGGATTCATACAGGGTGTGAAATGGAAATCCGTATTGGGACTCGGCTTCGCCTCGCCCAATACGGATTTCCATTTCACACACTGTATGAATCCGTATTAGATCACTAACTGACTTTGTAACTAATAATATTCTAGATGTTCCTAATACGAAGAAAGTCATCTCAGTTTGTATCACGGGTGTAAATTTAAAAATCGCTGATGTCATATTCTCATTGTTCTTAATACGAAAAAAATCATCTCAGTTTGTATCGTTGTAACAGGGAAAAGAAACATGCTTCAAACACTAGCCTTATCAGCATCAAATTCATATTTACTTTCTATATTGTTCCCAAATCTTTAAACAAACCAGTACAAATCGAAGGCGTCGTCGGTCTGCAACTTTCGCTGTGAGAGTTGTCGTTAATGTCAACATGGCCATGGTCAAGGACGAACTATTCTGAAGTTAACCCGAAATTACGATATTTGTTGACTTAAAAAAACATTCAAGAGGTCTTTATCAGTTTATTTTTTAATTGTTTTGACAATTTAAACTAAACTCTATCGAAATTCATCTTAACTACGTTTCTTTGCGGTATAAAATATTCCTACACCGTCCAGAATAACAAATTGTATGGAGACCTCAAAGAGAAATAATTTGAATATTTTTTTTAAAATTCGTTAATGGAATTATAAAATTTAAAGATTTTTTTTTTGGAAAATTTATCGATGTGTAAACTCTTGACATTTTACTCACAAACTTAACATTTCACCCGCTTGATGTTTTACCCGTATGTGAAAGTAACCTGTGGGTCTCCCAATTCTGTTTGTTGAACAAAGAATAAAGATTTTAATAAAAGTACAAATAATTTTATTAATAGATAAACTCTTATCTGGTTCTTCAGCAATAGATTAATTTCTATAAATAGTATTAATGATAAGTAATAATTTAATATTCAGGTTCTAGCGGAAGTATCAATTCACTTGTGGGAGTAATTTTCTCCCATAACTTTATCCCGCTCTAGAATTTACACTTACTACAATGAATATAAATAATTTATATAAAAGATCTTATAAATAGATTATCCCAAATGTGGGTCAGGCATCAGCTCCCACTAATTAAAATTTAGAATTAACAATTACCCAACGAAACTCCTCAGCTTTGGTATCTGACAAATCCTCAAAGATGAGGAAAAGCGTTCTGCCTGTCAAATCAGCTGATCGCTGTTTATATATGACGTTCTTGTGTATTACGTTACTACGGATATGACGTTTTACACACGCATCATTACCCGCGTATAATATTCGATCGGGTTAGGAAGCCATGTTGCCTATAGATCGCATGCACGGGTTAGGATGCAGTTTTCGATAGAAACGTGATAAAAGATGATTGTAGGTAATACACAATTGTTACGCAAGACTTCAGATAGGATTTATCTGCTCAATAATAGGTTTAAATGAATTATCTGTTTGGTTTATAAAGTATACATAAGTTGCAAGTTTTCGGGTTATAAACATTTCGATAGATAGTTCTAGCAAGTGGATTCCATTCGAGGAATTTCGGTTATGAACATTTCGATAGACATTTCTATCTCAAAACACAATATAGTAATCTTAAATAATAAAATTAAATGCAAATACTATATTTGCATGTTTCGTATCATTACTTTATGGATTTGTTGTTACAATAATATATTTATCCAATTATATAACAAAAGAGAAGAAGCTACGTTCGTAACACGGGCCCCTTCCTTGTAAAATACATTCGTCCTCGAATGTTGGTCATCAAAGAGCCACAATAAAAGGAAGAACGCAGATAAAAGGTAAATGCTACTTTTATATTAGCATATTAACATTTCAACATCAACATATAATTTATAACAACAATATCACAGGTTAGCATGGAAAATGGTAACAATATGGATGAATGACAATCATAAATATTATGGGTGTGCATGATATAATGATAAATAATGATTATATACAATGAGAACAATAATGAAATGTTTATATAAAATAAATTATCATGAACAGATGAATACTAATCATCATCTATACTCTAACGTCAATCAATGTTTATTTTTCACAGCCTAGTCTTCCCACAGAGAAAGAGATGAAGAAAATTTCTTCTCAACAGCTAAGGTTAGAGAGCGGAGACCATAAAAGGTGGATTCCACATGAATCTGGCGTAGGATGTCTTTATCCATAGGAAGTAGTTTGGGGAATGCCTCTGGGGAGCGTAAGTAGTCCAGAATAAAATCAAAATATCTAGGGTTCCTGTCGATCACGTAAACTGGACTTCCATCCTTTTTGATGGGTTCAAATAAAGAGTTTGGCTTGACCATTTCAGCCAGGAGGGAGCTTGGGTCCATTAACAGTGTAGGAATGCTAGTAAGGAATGATCGTCCCCCGACATTTAGTGTTACACGTTGTTTTTGCTGTAGTGCCATCCCTTCTAACTTTACTTTCATGGGGTCTTTGGATGGGATGTATTCTGGTGCATCTGGATTCGCGCAAACTGTGTACTGTTTTGTGATCTCTTCCTCGAAATTTTCTGGTGCGTGGATGGAAATCGCTTTCGTTGGTGTGGAACTTGCTGAAGATGAAGAAGAAGATGAGGATGAGGAGGAGGAGGATGAGCTCGACATAGTAAGAGTCTTTCGTTGGACAGTTGTTGTTGACTTTGTGGGCTCATTTTGAGGCAAGGGATTTTTGACTGTTTTAGATTCAGCGGGCTTTTGTTTTGGAGCGGCTGCTGGTGTTAGCTCTGGTTGAGATGGCACCTCTGGGTCCTTCAGGGCAGGAGTTGCGTCTTGTTTCTTAGATGGTGCAGAAACTGGCAACAAGGCTAGGTTACTGTTGGGGTTGTGAGATGACTCCATGGCAGGTATATTATCCCCGTGGCTTGTGGGTTGAGCAGAAGGTACTGATTTGATGAAGCGTCTAGGTATCGACTTTCTTGGCTTTTTGGTTTGAACTTCTGGTAGAGGATCCTTGAGCAATATAGCCCTCTTTGCACCTGGTTTGGGATCGAAATTTGGAACTACCTTCTTCATAAATGGCTCCACCAGAGCGGATCTTTCTCTTTGGAATTTGGCGAATTCAGCTTTTTCTTCTTCTCCAAACTGCATGTTAGATTTCTTCACGAATTTCAAATCATAATCTTTACATCCATGCCTTTGATCCTTCCTCCCCAGAAGATACTGGCATTTTGAGCATTGATAGGCGAATCCAGAGTGAGCTGTTGTAAGGTGTCGCTCCGCGTGGGACTGTTGAACAAACTCACGTCCATTGCATAAGATACATTTGAATCGTTGCACCTAAGGAGGGCAAAGAAGGTTGCATAAATAATAGGTTATAGTGATATATGATGATACAAAAAGTATTTACTGTTTAGTAAGGTTAACAGTTTTTATTTTGTAAGAAATTTCTATGCATGAAACCAGGTGGGTTTGTTTTCTCCCTCATAAAGTTTCATACGGTTATGGTGGATAATTTCCCCCTTATGTTTTGGACTCTTCTTGATTTTGTATAAGATATCATTTATCTTTTCAACAACAATGAAAGGTCCTGCCCATTTTTGGGATAACTTTCTGGCCAATCCCAGATTTTGATTTGGGTAAAATACCCATACTGCATCCCCAGTTTTGTAAGAAGTTTTGTGGATTTTTGCATTATATTCCCTAAGCATGTTTTGGGAATTTAATTGTATTTTCTCTCTTGCAAAATTGTGTATTTTTTCTAATTTTTGAGACAAATCATGTGCATAATCTGTAACATAATGTCTTTCAGGGTCTGCCCGTCCAAGAATGAGATCAATTGGTAATGTGACCTGCCGGCCGAATACCATTTCATTTGGACTTACTCCAGTAGATTCATGTACAGAGGAGCGGTATGCTAGCATTAATAAGGGTACCAACTCGTCCCAATTTTTCTGATTTTTGTCTACAAATGATGACAACATGTTTTCTATTGTGCGATTAGCCCTTTCTATCATTCCGTCTGATTGGGGTCTATAGGGAGAAGTTCTTGTTTTTTCTATCCCTAGCAAGTTGCACATTTCTTTAAATATGTCGGATTCGAACATTTGCCCCTGATCAGAATGTAACTGCATGGGCACACCAAAAATTGGAATTATATGTTCCAAAAGTTTTTGAGCAATTGTGATGGCCTTTTTATTCTTTATAGGGATTGCATCTATCCATTTTGTAAAATAATCCCCTACGACCAATAAGTAAGAATTTTTCTTATGAGTTATTGGGAGTGGACCAAGAATGTCAAGAGCCCAACGTTCCATAGGAGCTCCAACATTGTAAATCTGTAATGGTGCTCTTGGAAGTTTATTTGGGGACTTTCTAGATGCACATTTATCACAAATTTTGCAAAAGCGCTTTATGTCATGGGACATATGATACCAAAAATATTTATCTCTTGTTTTAGAAAGTGTCTTTTTGAAACCGAGATGGCCACCTGTCAGACTGCTATGTATCTCATTGAAAACTTCTTTAGCCATTGACTGAGGGAGAACTATTTGCAATTTAGGGTTAATATTTTCCCATTTATGATATAAAATTTCATTTATTATTTGTAGGGAATCAAATCTAACCCAAAAATATTTACAAGTCTCACTCAGACTGGAGACATCTTCCCAGGAAGGTTTAACTCCTGATTTTACCCATTCAATCACTTTAGCTATGTTCAGGTCTTTTCCTTGTATATCTCTTATGTCAGTTTTCATTTCTGATTGCTCAGAATTGTGTTTTGTAGGTTTCAGAGAAGAAGTAGACTCTGCGGAAGTAACCTTTTTGCTCGCCCTGGTGGCTACAGCACAAGATTCAGGTATTTCCCTAATTTGCATGTTACTAACATTCTCTTCTACCTTAACTTCATATCGGGACTCTGCACCGCTGCAGTGTTTGCAGTTTACATCAATGCAAGGTCGGCGGGACAAAGCATCCGCATTATTATGGGACCGGCCAGCCCGATGTTCAATTTTAAAATCATAAGAGGAAAGGAATTCGAACCATCTAGCTAATTGACCTTCTGGGTTCTTAAAATTTAGAAGCCAAGTTAGTGCACCATGGTCTGTTCTTACTTTGAAAGGTTTTCCATATAAGTAGTGATGGAAATGTTTTATTGACTTGACAATAGCTAATAGTTCTCTCCGTGTGACACAATAGCGTCGTTCGGTGGCACTAAAAGTTTTGCTATAATAAGCTATGACCTTGACAACCCCTTCTTGTTCTTGTGATAATACCGCTCCAAGTCCAGTATTGGAGGCATCTGTATCTAAAGTAAATAAACCCTCATTGTTTGGGTATGATAAAATGTCTGAGCTAGTTAAAGCCCTCTTCAGTTTGTCGAATGCCATTTGACAGTCATCCCCCCATTTAAATTTGTGGTTTTGTTCTGTTAGTTTATGCAAGGGTCTGGCTATGTCGGAAAATTTATGAACAAATTTCCTATAATAAGAGCATAAGCCCAAAAAGCTTCTTACTTCCTTAATGTTTTTGGGAACGGGCCAATTTTGCACCGCTTCTATTTTAGAAGGATCTGTAGATATACCATTCTCACTTACTATATGTCCCAAAAATGAAACTTCTTTTTGTAGAAAGGTACATTTCTTTGGGTTCATTTTCAAATTTGCCCCTCTTAACCTATCAAAAACTTGATACAAATTTGTTAGATGTTCATCAAAAGTTTTGGACAAAATGATAATGTCGTCCAAGTAAACTAAGCATATTTTCCATGACAGATTTGACAAGACTTTTTCCATAAGCCTTTCAAAAGTAGCTCCCGCATTACAAAGTCCAAAAGGCATATTTAAAAATTGCCAGTGGCCACCCCCGGGAATGGAAAATGCAGTTTTTGATTTATCTTCAGGGGACATTTTAACTTGCCAGTACCCACTTTTTAAATCAATAGTGGAGAACCACTTTGACCCAGACAAAGCATCTAGAGTAGTGTCTATACGAGGGATGGGATAACTGTCTTTAATGGTTAAATCATTGAGCTTTCTATAGTCAATACAAAACCTTATTGACCCATCTTTCTTTTTAACTAATACTACTGGGGAACTCCAAGGACTATCAGAAGTTTCAATTACCCCTTTATCTAGC